AGTAGTAGTAGGTAGCGCAGTAAAGTAGTAGTTAGTAGGTAGTAGTAGTAGTAGTAGTAGTAGTAGTAGTAGTAGTAGTAGTAGTAGTAGAAGTAGTAGTAGTAGTAGTAGTAGTAGTAGTAGTATAGTGTATTAGTAGTAGTAGTAGTATAGTAGTAAGTAGTAGTAGTAGTAGTAGTAGTAGTAGTAGTAGTAGTCTCCGTCGTCGTCGTAGTATAGTTTCTGGTGGTAGTAGTAGTAGTAGTAGTAGTAGTAGTAGTAGTAGTAGTAGTAGTAGTAGTAGTAGTAGTCGTTGTCGTCGTAGTAGTAGTAGTAGTAGGATGTAGCAGGAGTAGTAGTAGGAGTAATAATAACAGTAGTCATAGAAGCAGTAATAGTATTAGTAGTCGTCGTAGTAGCAGTAGTAGTAGTAACAGTGCCAGTTGTACTAGTAGTAGTCGTAGTAGTAGTAGCAGCAGCAGCAGCACGACTAGTAAGAATAGTACGGAAAATAATAACGGTATGGAGTATTTATGATGTAGTACGTAGTAGTAGTAGTAGTAGTAGTAGTAGTAGTAGTAGTAGTAGTAGTAGTAGTAGTAGTAGTAGTAGCAGCAGTAGTAGTAGTAGTAGTAGGAGTAGTAGTAGCAGTAGCAGTAGTAGTAGTAGTAGTAGTATTAGTAGTAGTAGTAGGACTAGGAGTAGTAGCAAGAGTAGTAGAAGAAATTGCAGTATCAGTAGCAGTAGCCGTAGCCGTAGCACTAGCAGTAGCAGCAGCAGCAGCAGCAGCAGCAGGAGTAGCAGTAGGAGTAGTAGTAGCAGTAGCAGTAGCAGCAGCACTAGTACTGAAAGGAACGCCTCGCATTGGTAGTCGTACTAGCAGCGTCATTCGTAGTCATGGCAATGACGATGGCGATTGGAGAAGGGGTGGCTCAATCGACTTCCTATTTGTTCTAGTTGCCGAACGCTAGGAAACCGCGGGCAGTCTTAAATGAAACGCCCGGTTTCCCCAGAGGCCCTATAGGAGGATCAAAGCTGGTCCTCCGAGGCCCCAACGATTTTTTCGAGAGGCAGTGCGAAGTTCTCCAGGGGGCCCGAGAAGATTCTCCAGAGGCCCCAATAGGTTCCCCAGAGTTCCACGAGGATCTTAAGAGGCGCCTGTTTTCCGCTAATCGTACCAAGACGCACTGGGCCTCACAAAAATGCAGTAGGCCAAGCAAGAATTTGTTCGCTCGTTCTCTCTTTTTCTCTCTCTCTCTCTCTCTCTCTACCTCCGTCCCCCGTGGCCCGTTGTTCGTCGCGCCGCGGTGCGGCATGGGAACTTACCCGAATACTTGTCGCATGCCGGCTGCTAGCGCACGCCGAGGTGGCCCCATTGTTAATGCCCGCTCTGGCCATAGAGGCTCAGCGTGTGCGGCGCTAGTAGCCGCGGCGTTGGAATGAACCGCCCTCTGCTATCGGTGCCCCTCTTTTTTTCTCTCTCTCTCTCTCTCTCTCTCTCTTTCCATTTCTCTCTTCCTCTCTCTTTTTGCTCCGCACGATTGGCACGATGGTTTCGTCACGCACTTGGTGCATCGTATTATGTATTCCCCTTCCTCCACCTTTCCTGGTTGCCGTGGCGGTTAGGACTCCGCTTCTCTAGAGCCTCTCATCGTCATCATTACCATCACCATCATCACCACTACCACGACCATCATCATCATCATCATCATCATCATCATCATCATCATCATCAGTATCATCATCAGCATCATCAGCAGCAGCAGCATTATCATCCGTAGCCATTTTGCCTCAAGCCATCTTGGCTCTGCCAGCTGCCCCGCAGCACTTGTGTTGCGTTCGCTGCCATGTCGCGGTGATCGGGAGCGCCCCTTCGGATCTCGTCCAGAAATGGCCCACAAGCACTTAGAAAAAGCGCGTGCTGGTACGATTCGTGTTCTTGTACGCGCCTATGCCTGCCCTCGTGCCAGCTATTAGTATGATGGGGTGTCTCCTCCTCAGTGGATGGCTTCATCTGCAGAAGCTGTTCTCCAATCGATGCTCGTTCATGGGTACCACGATGTCACTACTGGAGTTTCTCCTCGTCTTGCCTGGCATGCCGCTGCTGCTGCTGCTCTGGCTTCGGAATCTGAATTCGGTTGTAAGCATTACAGTCGGGGCGCTGAAGAAGGAACCCTTCTCGTTGGGGAGGGGCTCCGTGTTCCTTCATTGTTTTGCAGCTTGCCTGAGATGTTCCTTAGGTTTTCGATGGGAAGTCAAAGTTTGATTTATGGAAGAATAGGGCCCCGTTCCTTATTTAGGGTTCCTTAGGTCAACGCCTCGACTGTATCAGTACACATCGCCGTGTGACCCGCGCCAAACATGCGGCTGGTCGTGCTGCTCTTCGCGATGCTGCTGGTCCCGCCGCCGCGCGTGGCGTAACGAAGCCCAAGGACCACGCGTTCGCTTATGGCTCTTGGGCTGCAATTCTTTCTGCCAGCACCCATACTCACTCAGGAGAGGAAAAGACACACAGGCACAATTAATCCTCGATCCCCGGGAAGATATGCGAAAGGGAAGTGGGGGAAGACAAAAACCCAGAAAATATGGGAAAATACGGGGAATCGTTTTATTTGTGTGTATTTATGTGTGTGTTCTGGGGCCCCTTTACTCACGTCCGTGCTCCTCGGTTTCTCGTTCGGGTTCAGGGAAACCCTTGGACGCTCTTCCGTGACGCGCCGCCCTTCGAGGTGGTCACAATGCTGGATTGCTTGTGGGAGTCAGATTCCTGAGAGGCTTCGAAGCATCGAAGACAGCCTCGGTTGACGGAATACGTGTTGCTAGCGCCACGCCGTATTCTCGTTTTTGACAAACAGATTTTTGAAGATTGTGCACGTCAGATTCCTGAAGATGCAGGTCATGCGATTGGTACTGTGCAAAATGACGGTAATCGTACATTGTTGCGCTCGTACGCGAGGTCGTTTCTCATTCGTTGTGTTGGTCACTCGGAACACTGGCACACGCATTCTTGGCGTTCACATTTGTATATCAGGAGTCCCCTGAGCGCTGAGTCTCGCAGGCAGCGACTTGATGATCAGTGTTTGGAAGCCGTGCGGGAATGCCACCTTGAATTGATGCAGGTGCAGCGTTGTTGGATAACCATGACATGTCTATCACGCATGAGCCATTCACTTAGCATCCAGAGAAGACTGATGGATCGTTGTTGCCTTTTCTTCGTCGTTTTCTCTTGGTCGCCTGCCCGTTTCTCTTTCCGTGCTGCGGGTTCATCTCCATCATCATCATCGTGTTCAGATTCGTGTTCATTCCCCTCGTCATCAACATCATTATCAGAGTCCGCATCATCAAGTTTATCGGTCACATCAACTTCTTCATCATCGGCGCCGTCATCCTCGTGACCGTTGTCACCATCAATATCACCATAACTACCATCATCATCAGCAGCAGCAACAACATCAGTATGAGCACCCAAATCGCCATCACCCTCATCATCATCATCATCATCATCATCATCATCATCATCATCATCATCACCACCCTCATCACCACCCTCATCATCATCATCATCATCATCATCATCATCATCATCATCAGCAGCAGCAGCAGCAGCAGCAGCAGCATCATCTCGGACGCGAACGGGACGCGCTGGCTTTGCAGCACGTGCGCGGGCCAATCGGACGGCACGCCCGTCCATGGTGGCCCACCTGGGCCTCCGGCGGCGGGGCGGAAGCGCCAGGCCCCTGGCCAGGAGGCCGACGCGCCGCGCCCCCCCCGCGCGGACCTCCGCGGGCGCGGGCCGACGAGGCGCCGGGGACGCGGCAGCGGCCGCCGCTGGCGCCGCGGCGGCGGCGGCGGCGCTGGCGGCCCAGGCGCGCGGAGGCGCCCAGCACGGCGGCGGCGGCGCGGAGGAGGGCGGCGCGGCCGCGGGCGCCGAGGCCGCGGGCGGCCGCCCGCGAGGGCGGAACGCGAGCTCCGAGGGGTCGCACCGCCTCCTCCGGGCAAGCGGCGAGGGGCAGCACCGCCGCGTCTGCCGCGCGGCCTGCGGGCGCTGCGCGGACGGTGCGGCGCGCGTGGCCTCGCTCCGCAGCCAGGGCGCCGGAGGCGCCAGCGCCCGCCAGGCCGCCGCGCCGAGGGGGATGCGGCAGGGGAGGCGCCCCACGCGGGGCGGCGTGAGCGCCGAGCTCGGCGGCGGCCGCCCCGAGCCGCTGGGCCGCCGACGCAGCCGCTCGCGGGGGCGCGGCTCGGAGGCGGGAGGCCCCAGCCGCTGGGCGCCACGGCACACTCCCCTCACCCTCCTTCCTCCATCGGAGGAGAAAGATTTGATATAGGAGGAGGAGGAGGAGGAGGAGGAGGAGGAGGAGGAGGAGGAGGAGGAGGAGAAGGAGGATTAGAAATAGGGAGACGGGAGGAGCAGGAGGAGGAAGATTAGAAATAGGAGGAGCAGCGTCAGCAGCAGCAGCAGCAGGAGGCAGAGGGGAGGAGGAGGAGGAGGAGGAGGAGGAGGAGGAGGAGGAGGACAAGGAGGGGAAGGAGGCGGCGGCGTCGGAGGAGGACAAGGGTGAGAGGTAGAGAGCGGGAAGGAAAGGAGGACAAAGAATCGAGGAGCAGATTGGAGCATATCGGAAAGCGCACCCAGGTGCGACCACAACCGCAGGAGCGAGCCTCACCGCGATCAGGTAGAAAATGGAGGCGCTCGCGGGAGCGCGCATCGGCAAGGGCACCTCACGCAAGCACAGCGCCGCCGATCCTGAAATGAAAGTCATTCCGACGAGCCAGAATCGAAGCCGTCCTGAGGAGGAGGAGGGTGAGGACGGTGAGGAGGAGAAATGGAAGCAGGGGGAGCCGGCATAGGAGGAGGGGCAGGAGGAGGAGGAGGAGGAGGAGGAGGAGGAGGAGGAGGAAGAGAAGGAGGAGAGGAGGGAGGAGGAGGGGGAGGAGGAGGAGGGGAGGAGAGGCTCGCTGCTAGCGCAAGAGATGGGTCGGCAGGCAGACGGGGGTGGAGCAGCGCGCGGAGACTCCCAGAGGCTAAAGATGAGGCCGGATGCCGCGCCCATCACTTGCGACTACATCACCAGGGCGGTGGAGGCCAGCAGGGCGGGGTCCAAGATCCGAGCCGATGCTGCTGGAGAGGCGGGTTCTTTGTGCTGAGTGCTCTCTCGGGGACTCACGAGTGCGGCTCGGAGGCCTCTGCGAGTGCCTCTCGGGGCTCCCCCCTTTGGCAGACGGGGCAGAAGCGCTCTGCCCACCGAACCGCTTCCTCGGCGGTCGCCCGTGCTCCCAAAGACCACTCCCTGGTCCGCTTCCCCGAAGCCCAGCAGCACTCCTCCTCGTCCTCCCTCTACTCACCCTCCTCCTCCTCCTCCTCCTCCTCCTCCTCCTCCTCCTCCTCCTCCTCCTCCTCCTCCACGAGGCCAGACAGTCTGCAGCAAGAGTAGCCGCTGGCAGCAGCAAAATGACGGGCAGTTCGACATCCCGCCTCTCCTTGCAGTTGTTGCCTGTGCGGACGCCGATGCAGTACTGCGCGGCTCTGCTGTCGTCCGAGGCGACAAATTTGCCGCGGCTTGCGGCTGAGACGACGAAGGCAGCATGTCCGCCCAACAGTAGGCTCCACGCTTCCATTTTGGTGGGAGTCTGGCGAAGGAGTTTCGTGCATTTTTCGTTTTTGCTGGGAGGTTTTGCGATCAGCTTTGGCGCTCGCAATGGCTGGCGGGGGCCCTGCCGTGCTGCCAGGGGCTGAGCACATGGGGCTGCGCAGAGGCCGGTAGAAACCAGTAACAGCAACCTGGGCTGAGACATGCAGGGTCGGTCGAGCTCGTGTGACTGCAGCAGGGAGCGATGGATGGCAGCTCTGCTCCAGGAGTGCCGGCAAACAGGTTCTGGTCTACTGGCGGATGTGGGGGCTGTCTGGGCCAGGCCCTCGTCATCCGCCCGCCAACAGGGAAAGGGGTCCTGACAGAAACGGGCCCTAATGGACCTCGTGGTCTTCCGGGTCTCTTTTCCCCAGGACGCGCTGCCCATCCTGCACGGTCTTTGCGGATTTGGGGGCCATCTGGGCCAGGCCCTCGTCATCCGCCCGCCAACAGGGAATGGGGTCCTGACAGAAACGCCCTGGGGCCCTCCAGGTGCGTCTTGTCGCGAGGGTGCTGGAAGTTCTTGCTGCCAACTCCGCCGTGCGGAGTTGGAACCAGAGCTACTTTGGAACACCTCTTGGAGCCGTCTTTGGGCCATCTTGCGTGGGCTAGGGGCCAGCGTCTGACCCAGTTCCGAGGGATGCCAGCCCATCTTATCGACAGGCAACCTGACACGAATCAGAATCCACATGACGCGTCACTCCAGCTGCTGATCAGAACCTGCGGCGCAGACTCCTTGACGCCACGGGGGTGACAAGGGGGGCTTGTTTGTAAGCTTTCTTCTGCCACAGGGGCCGGGGAGGAAAGTAAAGGAGAGGCTGTCTCGCGTTCGGCCCGCCCCGTGCGCTGCCAGCACCGCGGCGCCCGCTCGCGGGCGGGCGGGGGCGCCAGCGAGCCACCGGCGCGGGCTGGGCAGACGTCACGCCGTCTGCCCGCACATAGGTCAGCATCTCGCAGATGGGGTTTGCCCTTGATGTGCCCCTGAGTCGTCCTGGGACGCAAGCTGAGGGAGGAGCAGCAGCAGCAGCAGGATCAGGAGCAGGAGACGGAGGTGCAGGAGTACAGGAGTAAGAGTACAAGTTCCAGGACGTTGTCCTAAACAAAGCCTCTCGCCTCCCCGAGCTCAGTGGACGATGACCACGGAGACCTGAAGCGACGACGCCTGTGGAGAATGACAACCTCGGACAAGACTTCACAACATGACAGGTACATGAGCAAACCGTCTGGTAGCCAGCCCCGAGTGCGAAGCAATGCAGACCGAAGGCAATGTCCGTCTCACCCAGAATTGATTGCAGAAGATTGCCACCGTCACATCCAGACTTTCACCAACATACAACGCAGAGGCGAAAATCTAAATACACTGGCAAGGGAACCGGTATGCCGAAGTGAGCATAGAAGACGAAACCGGAGAATAAGATGAAAGGAACAGTGTAAGAAGATGAGGAGCGGGGTTAGCAGCAGCAGTTGCAGGAGGTGTGGGGGAAGGGGGTAGGAGGAGCAGCAGCGGCAGGAGCAGGAATGGGCGGACGACAGCGAGGTGGTGGAGGAGGAGGAGGAGGAAGAGGAGGAGGAGGAGGAGGAGGAGGAGGAGGAGGAGGAGCGGCAGGAGCCGGAACGGGAGCGGGAGCGGGAGGGCGCGGCACAGGAGGGGCTCTACGACGGCAAGACCTTCTACCGGAGCGACTTCGTAATCCAGCGCCTTCCCCCAGCTGCGCCAGCGAAGTCCAATTCCGCTCCCGAGGAGAAGGGGGTGGAGATGGAGCAGAAGGAGGAGGAGGAGGAGGAGGAGGAGGAGGAGGAGGAGGAGGAGGAGGAGGAGGAGGAGGAGGAGGAGGAGGAGCAGCGTGGGGAACGATGCACAAGTGGAGGCGAGGGAAGGGGGGAGGCGACGAGGAGGAGGAGGAGGAGGCGGAGGAGATTCCGAGCACAGATGGTCGGCCCCATTCTGCACGCTCCCGCCTTCCGATCTGATCGCGCTCACGCTCTGATCGGTGGTCCGCACCCGCGACACTTGGTGGTGCGCTCGGCTTAGGATGTTCTAACCTACTTTAGCCTTGACCACCAGAAAGAATTTCGAGCACCAGGAAAGTGCCGAAGCTGGAGGATTTTCACGTGTCGGGCCCCGGGAGGCGACACTCGTTCGACACCGTTTCGATACTTTTCTGGGTGCTCGAATTTATTTTGGGGATGTGGTCCTCGAGCACGACGGGAGCAGCATACTGTAACGCTCGGCGATGGTACGCCGAGCGGATTCTCGCTGCACACGATCTTCGGCGCGGCCTGCGCCGTTAGCAAGGCTGGTCGGGGGGGTCCTGCGTCGCGGCTGCCGTCGGCGGCGCTCTCGGAGCACTCCGAGGTCTTCGGGCTGCGCCTGGCCTCGGCCCGACCGCTTCCGGAAGGCGCGCAGCTGCTGCCGGCCTCGGGGCTCCACCCTGGAGCGGCGGCGGCGGTCGCTGCCCCTGCTGCCGACGACGGCCGCGAAGGTCCACGCCTCGCCCCTCGGGGGGGGGGCGGCCCCCGTCCCCGCGGAGGGGCTGCCGACAACTCGCCCGACCGCGGCCCAGCACGTTCTCCGAGCGCGCGCTCCAGCGGTGCTCCTTCGCCCCCGGGGGGGGGCTCCCGGGCCCGCGCGCCGCGGCGAAGGCCGCCCCGGGGAGATCGCCGTGGCCGCTCGGCGCGCGCCGCCCCGGGCCCAGTGCCAGCGGTTTGGGGGGCGATGCGGGGGGCCACCCTGCTCTCGGTCTGGCGTGGCGGGCCAGCGAGCACGCCTGCTCGCAGGCGCGGCCCAGCTGCGTCTGTCGGCGCGTGCATCTGCCCTCTCGGGCGCTGTCACGCACAGGCCTCGGCTCGGCACCTCGGGGCGCCGAGTGCCCGCGTGTTGCCGGATGCCGGTTCGAGCTCGCGGAGAAGACGTGGGCCGCGCCGAATTGGTGGGGAGCCCAGCTTTGCATCACCTCGAAGTCGGGGTGGATCACTAGGGCGGCTGCTGGCTCGGCTCGGCGCTGGGCCGAGCTGCAAGCGATGGCGCGCCGCCTCGGCACCGCCATCCTGCAGGCGCTCGCTGGCCTGTGCGGTGCGGGCCGCGGCGGTGGGTGGGCCTTCGGGGACGCGGTCCATTCGCTGGAGGTTTTCCCGGGCCGCCCCCCCTCCCCTCCCTGCACCCTTCGGCGGGCGGCGGCGCGGCAGGCGACGGGACGGCCGACGACAACGCCGACGCCGACGACTTCCCTCACCTTCCTCCTGCTGGTGGTGGTGGTGGTGGTGGTGGCGGTGGTGGTGGTGGCGATGGTGGTGCTGGTGGTGGCAATGGCGGCAGTGGCGGCGGTGGCGGTGGCGGTGGCGGTGGGTGGCGGTGGGTGGCGGTGGCGGTGATGGCGGTGGTGGCGGTGATGGCGGTGATGGCGGTGATGGCGGTGCTGGTGCTGGTGCTGGTGCTGGTGGTGGTGGTGGAGGCGCCCGTTGCCGCCGAACTTGCGAGCTCCGGTCCTTTGGCCTGCTGGCCGTTTCCAGGCGCTACGTGGCGTCTTTCCCGCCTGGCGCCTGGGCCCCGGCGGCCCGTGCACTGAGCAGGGTTTGAAGAGCGTTGCGCGCTGCTACCAGCAGCAAGGGCAGAGTCACCCTGCTGCTGCCGTGTCAGAGGAGGCAGAGGAGAAAGCGGAGCAGGAGGAGGCGGAGGTGAGGAGAAGTGGACGGGACAGGGCGGAGGGTAAGGAAGGAGTGGATGAGGAAGAGGAGGAAGAAGGGCAGGAGGATGAGGACGGGGAGGAGGAGGGGCAGGAGGAGGAGGAGGGGCAGGAGGAGAAGGAGGAGGAGGAGGAAGAGGAGGAGGAGGAGGACGACGACGACGACAAGAAGGAGGACGAGGACGAGGACGACGAGGAGGAGGAAGAGGAGGAGAGCGAGGAGATGGGCCAATCTGGCACCTTGCGCGCCCGTCCGCCCGGGGCGCCTTGGGGCCGGGAGGCCGGCCCTGGCCCGTGCAATATGGGCACAGTGTTCGGGAAGCCGTTGGCACATGTCCTCGCATCGCATGCTCATCTGCCTACCAGTGCATTACTTTCGGCTGCATGTGTACACACACTGAGGTGTGGGCTGCACGGTAGCAACACCAAGCCCCCGGGTGACATCAGCAAGAACGAGACCAAGCAGGGCGAGTTCGTGTCTAATACGCGCGGAACTTGTTCGATTGCTCATTGGACCGTGCTTTTTGCATCCCGCAGCGCCGATTGATAAACAATCAGAGTGTGAAACCACCTTCCCCGCAACCGCTGGACAGGACTCTTGAAGTGCTTGCCGAGCCCGTTGGCCACCAGCGGAGCTATTGTTTCTGGCCACCCAGGAGCGCAGAGCCATCTCGAGGCAGTGCGGAAAGCGTCGCCAAGATGTTGAGCCCCGGACGTCGCAGCAGCATGCCGAGAGGCACAATGCTTCCCTGGCTGTTTTCATGCATGACGCGTCGCACCCGCTCGGAAGGCCACCGACTGCTGCGTCTCGCACGCTCGTCATCTGTCGCGCGGGCAGGTCGCAAGCGCCCCAGCGTGCGTGCGGCCCGCCTTTGCTTGCCGCCCGCGGCGTGAAGACGTGCAAGTCGCAGGCAGAATTCCTGGGCGTGGCAGGGGCAGACGTGGTCTGGTAAGGACGTCGCTCATGCAACCCGTCTTGCGTTCGAGGTTTTCCCAGGGGGTACCGCCTCCGCCTTCTGCCAAGTGCCGTTGGGCAATTGTGCTGCGGTGGGAGCTCCAGACCTCGTCTAGATCCCCCTGTTCGCGAAGACAGCTGGGACGCCCCACGACCCACGAGGATTTAGGAGAAGGAAAGGGAGAAGGGGGAATGATCCCTCACGAGATGTGTACCTCCCGTCGAGTTTCTGACCGCTCGTTTGAGGGTCGAAAGAGCGCTTTCCAGCGCTGCTGGCAGCGAGGGGGGTCCAAGCCCCTCCTTCCAAAAGAACGAAAGAGAGAATAGGGGGTCCAGAACCCGTCCCACTCGAAGAATGATTGAGAGGGTGTCCAGAACCCCCCGACCCCCGGAAAATGATTGAGGAAGTTCAGAACTACGGCCCAACCCGCCGCCGCCGCCGCCTGCAGACGAAGACGACGACGACGACGCCGATGCTGATGCCGACGACAACGACGCCGACGACGACGACGACGACGACGACGACGGGCGACGGCGGACTGAACGACGATGCTGACGCCGACGCCGACGCCGACGCCGACGCCGACGACGACGACGACGACGACGACGACAACGACGCCGATGCCGATGCCGACGACGACGACGACGACGACGACGACGACGCCGATGACGACGACGACGACGACGACGACGACGACGACGACGACGACGCCCTCGCCGACGACGACGACGACTACGTCGCCACCGCAGCCAAACGACCATGACGACGCTGACGACGACGACGACGATGCCAACGACAACGACGACGACGACGACGACGACGACGACGGCGGCGGACGACGGACGATGGACGATTAAGGACGACGACAGCCGACGACGATGATGCTCTTGATCATGATGTCGACGACGATGGCTTCGACGACGGTGATGAAAATTCGGACGATGACGATGACGATGACGATGACGATGACGATGATGATGATGATGATGATGATGATGATGATGATGATGATGATGATGATGATGATGATGATGATGATGATGATGATGATGATGATGATGATGGTGGTGGTGGTGGTGGTGATGATGATGATGTTGGTGGTAATGACGATGGTGTGGATGATCGCGATGATGATGATGATGATGATGATGATGATGATGATGATGATGATGATGATGATGATGATGATGATGATGATGATGATGAAACTAGTGATACTGAAGATGACGATGACGATGACAAACACGATGACGATGACAGTGAAGATGATGATGCGTACGATGATGTTGATGGTGGTAGTGTTGATGATGGTGATGATGATGACGATGATGATGACGATGACGATGACGATGGTTGTTATTATGATTGTCGGAATTGTTAGGATAAGGATGAGGATGGGGATATGATGATGATGATGATGATGATGATGATGATGATGATGCTGATGATGGTGATGGTGATGATGATGATGATGATGATGATGATGTTGGTGATGGTGGTGGTGATGGCGAGGGTGATGATGATGACGATGACCATGACGACGACGACGACGACGACGACGATCATGATGGTCCGCTCGTCAGGGTCCGCCCGCCCAACCCGACCCGCCCGTCAGGGTCCACCAGCCCGACCGCGTGTTCCTCCGATGACCCAGCATACGTGCACCTCCCGCCCGCCAGGCCCTGCCCCGCCCGTCCGTTAGGGCCCGTCCGCCCGACGACAATGACGATGGTGACGGTGAGCTGCTAAGGATGATGCTGCTGATGATGATGATGATGATGATGATGATGATGATGATGATCCTGGTGGTGATGATTATGATGATGATAATGATGATGATGATTGTAATGGTGGTGGGGAGGATGAGGATGATTGTGGTGGTGATGACGACGATGGTACACATGCTCATGATGATGAATATGATGACGATGATGAAGATGACGTTTTTTTATCATGATGATCATGATTATGATGATGATGGTCATAATGGTGCTGGTGGTGATGATGATGGTATCGATGATGACGATGATGATAATGGTAATTGTGATTGTGGCGTGTGTCCTGATGATGACGGTGGTGATGATGATGATGATGATGACGAAGATGGGGATAACAATGAGGTTGAGGATGAGGATCACAACATTATGAAGATGATGATGTCGAGCGGATGCGCACAACAATGAGCCGATCAATGATGAGGATGAGAACTGAGATTCCAATGATAATGACGATGAGGACAAACATGAGGAGGCTGATTCTGGTGATGGTGGCGATGGCCATGATGGTGATGATGAGGGTGGAAGCATGATAAGTATGGCGATGATGCTGATGGCTACGATGCTGAGGATTGTGATGATGACGATGAACGTGATTGTGATTGTGAGGATGACGATGATGGTAACACTGGCAGTAGTGATGACGATGAGGGTGAGGATGTGGATGGTGATGCTGATGATAAGGATACAGATGTGGATGGTGATGCCCATGCTGCTGATGATGCGCATGAGGATTATGATGATAATCATGATGATGGTGATGGTAGGCTGATGATGAGGATCAGGATCTGGATTATTATGCTGATGCTGAGGAGAAGGGTAAAGATGATGATGAGAAGGATGAGCATGAGGATAAGGATGAGGATGAAGATGACGACGACGATGAAAATGACGATGATGATTATGATGATGATAACTATTGTGGTGATGATGATAAGAATGAGAATCATGATGACGATGGTGTCAATGGTGATCGTGATGGTGAGTGTGATGATGTTGAGTATGACGATGATGAAGATGATGATGACGATTGTGATGATTACGATGATGATGGCGATCATAATCATGATGATGGTTTGCTGTCGGCGTTCGTCGTCGTCCTCGTCGCCTTCGTCGTGCTCGTGGGCGTCGTCGTCGTTGTCGTCGCCTTCGTCGCCGTCGTCGTCGCCATCGCAGTCGTCGTCTTCGTCGTCGTCGTCGTTGTCGTCGGCGTCGTCGGCGTCCGTCGTCGACGTCGACGTGGTCGTCGTCGTCGTCCGCGCCGTTTGCAGGCGTCCTCGTCGTCGTTGCCGTCGGTAGGCGTCAGCGTCGTCGTCGTCGTTGTCGTCATTGTCGTCGTCGTCATCGCCGGCGTCTGCCAGCGGCGGCGGGGGAGGGGGGTGGAGGGTTTCTGGACCCCCCGATGGATTTTCGGTGTGTGTCGGGGGTTTTTGGACCGCCGCAATAATCATTTTGGGGGGAGGGGTGCCCCCCGGTTTCCGAGCCACCCTCTACAGAATTCCCGACCATTTTGTGTTGGGTCTTCGTTTTGAAGAGACAGCGCCCCGCGTCACTCACTCCTTCCTCTTCCCCCTCCTTCCTCCTCCTATCCTTACCGCCCTGCGCACTTCAACCAGATCGGCCCACTCATCACACGCTTCGTGGCCCCAGGGGAGCTCCATCGAAGGTCCCAGAGGTGCAGTCTGCATGCATCCCCCCCACAAACTCCCGCGCACCCCTCACGCTTCGTAGCCCCATAGGGAGCCCTACCGAAGGCCCTAACGGCAGGGTCCGCATGGCGCTCCCGCACCCGATTAGGCACACCCCTCACACGCTTCGTGGCCCCATACGCAGCTCCACCGAAGGCCCCACCAGCAAGGTCTGCATGGCACACCCGCACCCGATTCGGCACACCCATCACACGCCTCGTGGCCCCACAGGGACCTGCACCAAAGGCCCCAGCGGCAGGGTCCGCATGGCATACCCACACCCGACTCGACGCACCCTTCACACGTTTCGTGGCCCCACAAGGAACTCCATCGAAGACCCGAGCGGCAGGGTCCGCATGGCGCCCCCGCACCCGACTCGGCACATCCCTCACACGTTGCGTGGCCCCATGGGGAGCCCCACCGAACGCCTCAGCGGCAGAGCTCGCATGGCGTACCCGCACCCGACTCACCCGACTCGACGCACCCCTCACATTGTTCGTGGCCCCACAGTGTAGCTGGTCTCCACATTTTCCCCGTCAGGTTTATCATATGGCTAGCGTGTCATATTTCACCCGTTGTGACACGATGGCTCAAGGGAAAAGCATATACAGCCCCTGCTAATGCCACAGTTGGTAGCGGAGCCTGGTGCGGCGGGCGGCCATGGGTGGCGGCGGGCATCCCTGAGGGGGAGAGCCCGGCCGCTGCTTGCGAGCCCCCTCTGTCTCCGGGCTCGCGCCGACGGGGCGGCGCGGCACTCGGAGATGCCCGACGACGGCAAGAACGGCAAGGACGATGACAGCAAGGGAGTGACGGGCTTCTCGGAGACCCCGCCAGCAGCGCCACCAGCGGCGACAGGATCGGCAGAGGGATCTCCAGGAGCCGTGACCCTGTCAGCTCAGCAGCTGACTGAGCTGGTGGCTGGAGCAGTCAAACAGGCTATGCAGACGGCGACGTCAGCGGGGCCTGCAGCCAGCAGCTCCCAGGGTCAGGACGAGCCCAAGGACGGCGGCTGGGACCCATGGCGGAAAAGTGCAGAGGCAGCAGCAGGTGAAGATGGTGCCGCCCAGGGTTCCAACCGCTGGCATGGTTGGAAG